TGAACTCTGGGCCTGGGTGCTGTCCCTCAGCTCTTCAGCTCAAGGCTAGTGCTCTACCACTTGAGCCACAGTGCCACTTCTGGCTTTTTTCTTTTTGCTCATGTGGTGCTGAGGAATAGAACCCAGGGCCTCATGCATTCAAGGCAATTGCTCTACCACTGAGCCACCTTCCCAACCCAACAATTTCTTTAAAAATTATACCAGATTATTGTATATAATTTTATGATACTTTAGATTTTATCTGTACATTTCCTGGAGACTTCAGATTAAATGCAAGGTCTCAGGGCCATTGCTATTAAATTTCACCCTAATATAAACTATCCACTGAAAAGGAAATTTTTTCATAAATTCCTTTAGTCAACAGAATGTTATACTCTGTAATAAAGTGTTGCTGGTAGAGGTAGTTTGTGTGAATATCTGAAAGAAAGATATGATTTTTTTTTTTCATGCCTGTCCTGAATCCTGAATGCAGGGACTGTGGGTTTGTTTTTGAGTTTTTTGCTCAAGTCAAGCACTCTACCACAGGACCACTTCTGGCTTTTTTGGTAGTTAATTAGAGATAAAAGTCTCATGGATTTTCTTGTGATCTTCAAATCTCAGCCTCCTGAGTAGCTAGGATTGCAAGGGCAAGCCACCAATGCCTGATGAAAGCCAACTTTTTGTACAACAGATGTTCTGTTAAAAGGTTTCAGTTACAAACAGTATGACTGTATTGTTATGTTTAAAGATGAACATTAACTCCTAACATTAACTTTAAAACATAAAGTGAATATCCCTTTTCCCTGCCAAAAGTATTATTTTAACTGTTAATCCTGTATCATCATAAGGAGTAACAATTTACAGAGTAAAACTGCTCTGTTGACTACTTAAAAGGATATAATGTATCTACCTCAAAATAGGTGCATGCTAATAATAGTTGACTACATCTCCAATTCTTCTATTTTCCAAAACACAGTGGTGTATATTTACCTTCTCCATCCCTTAGGTTCATACAGTTTTGTTTGTTGAGTTCTACCACTGAGCCATACCCCTACCCTTCTCTTAGTTTTAGCCTCTCTACTAAGCCTTGATGTTGAATATTTGTCCTAATCAGATCTAATTTTTTTTTCCACTCAGATCATTTTGGCCTCATGAATTCTGAGATTTGCTATGATTGACCCCTCCACTCCCCATCTTACTTTTCCTTTCTTTTCCTTTGTTTTCCTCTGTCCCTTTTCCCTCTCTTTTATTTTAACAATGGTGGGGATTGAGTCTCATGCTTGATAGACAAGCATTCTACTACTTGAGCTATGCTGATGTTCTTTCTTCTTCTTCTTTTAGTTTATTTTTCAGGTAGGGTCACATGCTTTTGTCCTGACTAGCCTTCACCCTCAGTCTTACTTCTATCTTTCAAGTAGCTGGGATTAAAGGAATGTACTACTGTGTCCTCTATTATGACTTTGATATATCATTCTTGTGTAACTCTTAAATTTGGATTTCTTTTTTCACTTGCCTTTAACATTTCTTTTTCCAGCTACTTTTCTGTCTTCAAAGGATAGATTGTAGGCTCTCTCAATGACACTTTCCTCAATATTTGGGACTTGAAAATATATTAGTCTGTGATATTTTAGTTTTTGAATTAGTAAAAATTCACTGCTGGGGGCTGGGAAGGTGGCTCAGTGGTAGAGCGCTTGCCTTGCATGCCTGAGGCCCTGGGTTCGATTCCTCAGCACCATATAAGCAAAAAGAAAAAAGCCGGAAGTGATGCTGTGGCTCAAGTGGTAGAGCGCTAGCCTTGAGCGGAAGATCTGAGGGACAGCGCCCAGGCCCAGAGTTCAGGTCCCATGACCGGACCCAAAACAAAACAACAACAACAAAAAACCTCAATCAAAAATTCACTGTACTGTATATGTCTATTCTTGTCTGAATTTGTAAAAAATGGAATGATTGCTCATGTAGGCACGTTGATGTACTCTGTATAGTCTCTTTCATTTTCTAAGTTTAAAACTATTTGTAGTTTTTGTCATTAATCATTGATTTTTAATTTTTATCATTTGCCATTACTATATCATATCTTACTGTTATTCATTCTTTTCTTTTTTCCCCCTTTCTTCACTGTTCTCATGCTCTTGTTCTTGCTCTTGCTCTGTCTGTCTCTCCTTTTTTGATGGTACTAATGTTTGAACCCAGGACTTTGTACTTGATCCATGCCTCCAGTCCTGTGGTTAGTTTTGATATTGGGGCTTGCTTTTTGCTTGAGCTAGCCTAAGCTATGATCTTCCTATTTACACTTAACTGCTGTAGTTGAGATGACATGCTTGTGCCACCATACCTTTTTTTTTTTTAACCAAGATTGGGTATCTTTAATTTATTTTTATTTTTATTTATTTTTTGCCTGGGCAGGCCTTAAACTGCAGTCCTTCCCATCTTAGTCTCCTTTGTGGCTGGGATGACAGGCATGTACTACTGTGCCCAACTTATGGTTGAAGTGCAGCCTTGTGAACTCCATTTCACTAGCCTGGGCTGGTCTTTAACCACAGTCCTCCCTACTTGATCTCAATCCCAAGTAACTAGGATTACAGGCATAAACCACTGCACTCTGCTTTTTTTTTTTTAAAGATAATTTAAACTTTATTTGTAAAAAGCTTGATGGGTAAGAATATTATTATTCATAATAAGTGAGTTTTAAATAAGCAAGAATAGTAATCTAGTCCTGGTCTGGCTATGTTCTTAGAGCTTCCTGCAGACATCTTTCCTTATTAACAAGTGAATGATTACCCAATGATTTCCTCAGTGAGAAACATATACCCTATCTGAATTAACTAAATTTAGTTAATTTACCTTATATCAATACCCTTTTCTCTGGCTTTGCCTCTTTTTTTTTAAATATATTAACCTTTTAATTTAGTAGTAGTATTAAATTTACAGAAACATGTCTGAAATATTGTAGAGGTTATTATCAGAGGTAATATAGAAATGCTCCCATTTACGTGTGAACCTTTTATGTCTTATATTAGTATCCTGGTATGTTCATTGTAAAAAAAAAAACTACTGTTTTTTTATCTTCCAGATTTTCAGAAGTGAAATCCAAAATTGCAAGTAAGTAGAATGTATTTATTTAGGCTTAAAAATGTTGTGCCAGTCCTGGGGCTTGAACTCAGGGGCTAGGCACTGTCCCTCAACTCTTTTTTTTTTCTTCTTTTTTTTGTTCCAGTCATGGGGCCTGAACTCTGGGCCTGGGCGCTGTCCCTCAGCTCTTCAGCTCAAGGCTAGCACGCTACTACTTGAGCCATAGCACCACGTCTGGCTTTTTTTTTTTTCCTGCTTATGTGGTGCTGAGGAATTGAACCCAGGGCCTTGTTGCATGCAAGGCAAGCACTCTACCACTGAGCCACCTTCTCAGCCCTGTCCCTCAACTCTTGTAATCAAAGTTAGTGCTTTACCGCTTTAGCTACAGCTGTGCTTCCAGCTTTTTGGTGGTTAATTGGAGATAAGAGTCTCATAGACTTTCCTACTTGGGCTGGCTTCTAACATCGATCCTAAGATCTTAACTTCCTCTAATTAGCTTCAATTACAGGTGTGAACCACCAGCATCCAGCTATTTATCTGGTTTTTTAAGTAAACAAAAACTACACCAAAGGGAAAAAGTAAATAGCAAAGGAAAGAAAATATGAAAAATGTTATCTTCCTCATACCATCTTTGAATTTGATTTCTCTTTTCTGGATACAGTTTAGTCTGGGCATTCTTCTAGAGTATGTTTTGATTCATTCTCTTTCTTTCTTTCTTTTCTTTCTTTCTTTCTTTCTTTCTTTCTTTCTTTCTTTCTTTCTTTCTTTCTTTCTTTCTTTCTTTCTTTCTTTCTTTCACGCACGCACGCACGCACGCACGCACGTACGTGCACATCCCTAGCTTAATTTTTTGCTGGTCCTGGGGCTTGAACTCTGGGCCTGAGCTCTGTCCCTGAGCTTCTTTTTGCTCAAGGTGAGCTCTCTACCACTTGAGTTACAGTACCACTTCTGGCTTTTTTGAGTAGTTTTTGATGAGTCTCAGAGTTTCCAGCCCAGGCTGGCTTTGAACAGAGATCCTCAGATCTCAGCCTCCTGCGTAGCTGAGATCACAGGCATAGAGCCATCAGCACCCAGCTTGTGTTCTTAATATAATTTGAGAAATTGTATTCATATATATATATGTCTGAAAAAGATTCGTTTTAATGTTAAGATATTATAATATTTAATATCTATTTACATACTTACATGCTTGATTCTTTCCTATCTTTGGTATATTTTAGACTAAATCATCTGAGTTTCTGGAAGATCATTGTATTTGTAAATTCCCAAATCACTGATTGGTAATTTGGCTCACTGTTTAGTGGACCATTTTAACAGAAGGTCAAAAAACCACCTGTATTTTCAAAAGTCTTAAGAATAAAGGTGACGTGGGTAGGCTGGACTTAGGTATTCATTGAGAACCATAACATTCTAAGGAATATAGTGAATCAAGTATCATATATCATCTTAAGAAATTTGTTGTTGTTAAGTCCATCATTGCTTATGGTAGAGACATCTGAGCTATAGTAAACTGAAGTTTTTAGTCCTCTTCAGTTTTTCTGTAGCTTTTGGTTTAAGACTCAGGATGTTTTAAGTTTTTTGCTGTGAGAACTGCCATCTGGGGATTTTATTCTTCTCTTTACCTCCCTCCCTCTAGTGGTTGTGTTTTGAAAATACAGATTTATATATTTCAGTGTTTTAGGAGCTAGGTCCACTGTTTATAATCCCACTGTGTTTGTAATTGTTTCAAAAGAAGGAATATCCATAGTAGTCATATTTATAAATAGCTTAGATGCATATATATATATATAACTTGTATACTTTTGAAAAATATTATTCAGTAATTGTGCAGAGGTTACAGTGTCATAAATCAGGTAATAAGTATGATGAATCTTGATCACTGTGACATTTCCACTGTTCTCCCCCATTCTTCTTCCTCCCCATCCTTACCCTCAAGTTACAAAACTCAGTTTTTTATATAATGTTCATTGAATATAATGACTGCATTTTCTCATCCTTCATCACTCCATTTGTGCCTCCCCTCCCCCCCCCCGCATTGATAAAAATATCCTTGGATAACAGAGTGGCTTTCTTTTTTTTTTTTAGGCAAATATCATGATTTAGAATGCCAACTGATTCAGGAGTTTACAAGTGCGCAAAGAAGAGGTGAAATCTCCAGAATGAGGGAAGTAGCTGCAGTTTTACTTCATTTTAAGGTAATGGTTACAAATTTAAAATGGAAGACTCTCTTCAAGGTTGTAGAGATTTTGTAAGTTTTATATATTGTATTTGATTTTCCCTCTTATATAACAGTAATAAGTTTAACTTATAGTTATTTTTATGTACATTTTATATATCTCATGTTAAATGTTAGGTATTTAATTAGTAAGGATTTTAATATTTATATATTTAATATTTGATATAGTTTGACAAAATTGTCATTCTCTTACTTTTTAATGTATTTTTCTCAACATGTCAAATAAGTCAAAAGAAGAAAACTTCACTATAAAATACCTAGTAGAATATAGGAACCTAATAGTAGATGAATGTGACTAATAGAAGAAATAAAGGAGATCTCAGAGAGATGTTGTATTATGGAATTGTCTTTCTAGAATTTGAATTGGAGATCTGTTGTGGTAGTATATTCTGTGAAGAAGATGCTTAAATAAATAGTTCTTCCATTTCAGTGCCAATGACTCACACTGGTAATCCTAGCTCAGAGCTGAGATCTGAGGATCATGGTTCAAAGCTAGCCTAAGCAGAAAAGTCTATGAGATTCCATCTCCCTGATAACCAGTAAAATTCTGGATTAGAAGTGTGTTTCACATAGTAAAATCCCACCCTATCAAAGTTAGCTCAAGGCATTGAGTTCAAATGCTGGTATTGAAAAAGAAATAATTCCTCCTTCAGTCTGTTTCTTCATATTTATATCAGATTAGGAAAATGGAAACTGTTTATTGGACTTTTTATTTGATAATGTGAATGAGTATTGGCAATGGTTTTTGAGACAGTGATTTACTTTATATTGACGGACTTTTTGGGGGGTGGGGGGAGGTCGCGGTTGCTGGTGCTGGGCTTGAACTCAGGACTTGGGCACTGTCCCTGAGTCTTTCTGTGCTCAAGACTAGCACTCTACCACTTGAGCCATAGCACTACTTCTTTTTTCTCAGTAGTTCATTGGATATAAAAGTCTCATGGACTTAATTCTTGCCTGGCTTTGAACCACAGTTCTCAGATCTAAGCCTCCTGAGGAGCTAGGATTATAGGGGTGAACCACCAGCACCCAGCAAGCTTAGTGCCATTGAGCCATAGCACCATTTACAGCTTTTTCTGCTTATGTGGTACTGAGGAATTGAACCCAGAGCCTCATGCATGCAAGGCAAGCACTCTACTACTGAGCCACCTTCCTAGCCCCCAAGCTCACTCATTTTTAATGTATGATTTATTGATAACCAAAGATCTAACTTTATTGATCTTAATGTATAGCTCTGTTTTAGACACATTTATTGAAATAGATTCAGTATAGAGTAAATGTGTCTGAGTTCAAACCCAAATATTGCTTATATATATATACATATATAATAAATTTCCAGACTGCCAGTTAAACAAAGATCTGTCTAAATTCATAGAAAGGAAAGGAAATACGTCAATCCTTCTCACTTCTCTTCTGTGTGTGTCTGTGTGTTTTTGTATGTGTGTATTGGAGTGAAAGAGTTTTCTAGGTGATTGATCCTAAGACAGAATCCACTGTAGAGAGCACAGTCATACTTCAACTTTCTTCTTTCATCTAAACTCCAACAAGGATATAAAGCAGTCAGGGAATTTCATCATAAAAAGAAGGAAAAGACACTCATGTTAACGTACTGGTTATTGATGATTAATTTTATTAATTTCAATGACTATTGGCCATTCACTAGAAAAATGACATAGTTTTATTACATACAACACTTTTCCTGAGGTTGTTTATTTGCAAGAACAATAAAAATGTGTTTCTTCTTTGTAGGGCTATTCCCATTGTGTTGATGTTTATATAAAGCAGTGCCAGGAGGTAACTTGACAATCTATTTTTTTTGAATTTGACGCTAATTTCTATTTTGAAGCTAATATAAAATTTATGTATCCACTATGTATATTTACTCTGCTATTTAGGGTGCTTATTTGAGAAATGATATATTTGAAGATGCAGCAATACTTTGTCAACGTGTGAATAAGCAAGTTGGAGATATCTTCAGTAATCCAGAAACAGTACTCGCTAAACTTATTCAGAATGTATTTGAAATTAAACTACAGGTAATTTTAAACAGTGACAAGTTAAATCAGTTTTAAGGCAGTTTGTGATGTCTTGTTCTATCTGATTTTTTTTTTTCTTCAGATTTTAGCTTACTTACATAATGACCTTAGAACTCAAGGTCTACATGCAGCTATTCCTGAGCTTCTTTTGCTCAAGGCTAGCACTACTATTTGAGTCTCAGATCCACTTCTGGCTTTCAAAGTAGTTTACTGGTGATAAGAATCTCAGGGACTTTCCTGCCTGAAACTGGCTTCAAATGATGATCCCTCAGATCTCAGCCTCTTAAGTAGCTAGGATTATAGGTATAAGCCACTCGTGCTCCAGCATTATCATAATTTTTGAAAGCTGGTTTGTTTTTCACTAAGGGGAAGATGTTAATCACTCTGTCATTAGAGCATATGCTTGAAATATGTTTTCATAATAGTGATGGGCTGTGGTAAGGTAGCTTCAGATATTCTATTTTGCTTTGGTTCTCACTTTGACCTCAGACTGATATTTGTGAAAATGAACAAGAAATGCAAACATGCTGGGCATTGGTGTTCAAAGCCAGTCCAGGGAAGAAAGGCTGAGATACTCTTATCTTCAGTTAACTGCCTAAAAGCTAGCTCAAAGTGGTAGAGTGGCGTTAAGTGGTACAGTGCTAGCCTTGAGCACAAAACTTAAGGACAGTGCCCAAATCTTGAGTCCAAGCCCCTGGACTACCACCAAAAAGAAAAAACAAAGAACAAATATGATCTGTATAATTTTTTGGTATAGTATTACCCAGTAAAGGGAGAACAGTAATTTCGCTTTTAACCTTTACTTCTGTAGTACAGTGTGTTCAGGCATTTCCTAAATTCTACTACCAGTAGATTAAGCCACATTCAGTGTTTGTTTTTCAAACAATTCTTTAGAATGAGAATGTAATAAATAGCACCTCCCATGTTTACTGACTAAGGAATACTATATTATAGAATACCCTAAAACTGTGGTAATTTTCAAGGAAAAAAATGTAATATATGTATTAAGAATGTATAATATATATGAAACCGGGCACCGGTGGCTTACGACTGTAATCCTAGCTACACAGGAGGCTGAGATCTGAAGATTGCCGTTCAAAGCCAGCCCGGGCAGGAAAGTCTGTGAAATTCTTATCTCCAATAAACCACCAGAAAACCAGAAATGACGTTGTAGCTCAAGTGGTGTAGTGCTAGCCTTGAGCTGAAGAGCTGAGGGACGGCACTCAGGCGGAGTTCAAGCCCCATGACCGACCAAAAAAAAAAAAAAAAAGAATGTATAATATATATGTTAAATATAATTAACAGGATGTTCTTTCATTTTTTAGAGTTTCGTAAAAGATCAGTTAGAAGAATGTAGGAAGTCGGATGCAGAGCAGTATCTGAAAAATCTCTATGATCTATATACAAGGTATATTTTTAATTACAAGAATAATAAGAATAATAATCTCAATTTCCTTTTTTAAAGTAAATGGAGGGGGAGGGAAAGTGGGAGAAAAATGAGGAAAGGGGTAATAAGTTTGACAAGAAATATATTTATTATATAACTGTAACTCCTTGGTACATCACCTTGACAATAAAAAAATGGTAAAAGGTAAGAGGTATTTTGAATTAATAGCTTTTAACATAGCAATATGCCTTTTAGGAATTTTTGGTTTAGAATTGGGCAAGTATAACATTCTTAGTACATTACTTTTAGGATTTGAGTATTTCAATTGATTGTACTAAGAAGGGAAGATCCTTGTTTAATCTGATTCAAGGATTTTTTTTGTAATTTTAATTGTGAGCTAGTTTACTTTTTTGTATTGTTAGTATAATTAGATTTATTTGCAGTTAAAACTAGAAAGAAATAACATTCTTAACAAATGTTAAGTCCTGTGTGAGTTTGTCTTTTTCTTTTGTAAATGACAGGATTACCCTCAGAGATATTATCTCAGAAGCTTCATGTGGAGCACTTTTTATTTGACATTTTCAAACAGTTACTTATCCTTCAATCTCTGCATTTGGGGAGAAGTTTCATTTCGGTAACAGCAACAACATTGTCTTCAACAATGGGAAGTAAATAAGAGGAGAGTCCACATGGAGAAAGACAAACAGGGTGCACAGTGAGAGCAGACCTCTCAGTGCTGTTTGGATTCTTTGTGATGAATGGTATAAGAAAGTATTTGAGACCATTCTGCCGCTGTCTCCATTTCTAGCCTGGATCATTGTCTCACAAATTCTTAGAGATCACCCACAGGAGTTGGACAGTTCTTAAAACCATTAGTATTGTTTGTAGTATTCCATTCTACTTTGTATATAACTCTATAGGGCTGCTTTCTAAATCCTAAATTCTGTCTGCCAAGGTTTTAAAAATAGTAGCTTAATATGTCAGTAAAGTCACATTATAAAAATATATATTCCTTAGTATTACTACTGTACCTAAAACATACATCAATCTTTTTTTCCTCCTTTTCTATGAAAAGAACCACCAATCTTTCCAGCAAGTTGATGGAGTTTAACTTAGGTACTGATAAACAGACTTTCTTGTCTAAGCTTATCAAATCCATTTTCATTTCCTATTTGGAGAACTATATTGAGGTGGAGACTGGTTATTTGAAAAGCAGAAGTGCTATGATCCTACAGCGTTATTACGATTCAAAAAACCACCAAAAGAGAGCCATTGGCACAGGAGGGTGAGTTTTCTTATATATTATGGTTAAAAGTAAATGCATGAAAAAATGGTGAATTTGGGCAAAGTTATCACATATTGATTAGATAAACATCAAATATTGACTGTCAAGATTTTTTGTGAAGAATTCTTTTGCTGGGCGCCGGTGGCTCATACCTGCAATCCTAGCTACTCAGGAGGCTAAGATCTGAGGATCGCAGTTCAAAGCCAGCCTGGGCAGGAAAGTCCGTGAGACTCTTAATCTCCAATAAAAACCACTAGAAAACTGGAAGTGGTGCTGTGGCTCTAGGGGTAGAGCACTTGCCTTGAGCTGAAGAGCACAGGGACAGCGCCCAAGCCCAGAGTTCAAGCCCTACGACTGACCAAAAAAAAAAAAAATTCTTTTAACCAGTGTTGTTAATTATTGACCAACTCTTGATCTTGAACTACATGCTGAAATGATATAGCATGATTAAAATATAAAACATTTGTTAATGAAAAAATTAATAAGCACAGTGACAGTAATATAAAGAACTTATTTCTTTTTCATTTCAGACAGAGTAAATTCTTTTGGGTTATTGACTAAGAATCAGTTTTTGTTGTTACACAGATATGACAAAAAGAAGAATAAACATTTGACAATTTAGAGCTGATGACATCTCAGTTCCAGGTCTTCACTACCTGGGACCTAGATGATTCTAGGAGGTATCATGATTTCTGTAGTGTCATATAATTTTGTGTCCAGAATTCACACACTATGCAGTCAAATAATTTTGTTCTACAGTTTTGTATATTAAATGATTAGAGAAAGGTTATAATTAGGTATAAGAGAAAATCTGAATGGAATTCTATGCCTCCATCAGAAAGAATGACATTGCTCCATTTGTTAGGAAATAGAAAGACTCGGAAAAAATTATATTAAGTGAAGTAAGCCAGGCCCAAAGAAACTTAGGTCCCATGGTTTTCCTTATTTGCAATATCTAGTATATGTCTGAGTCAAGCAGAAAAGGTCAGATAAGTTGATGTTAGGGAAATGAACCCCTAAGATATGTATTCAAATGTTTTTTTTTCTTTCATGTGATTGTTTCTAACACATTTATAAGATGATTTCTTTGTTGCTTTGTATGTCCCTCTCCCATGGTATAACCCCTGCTTTCACTGTATAATTTGTGGAGGGGAAGGGGAAAAACAAATTGTTTAAATAGGGATACAGGTGGACCCATTGCAACAATGAGATGTACCAGTCCTTATGTGGAAAACTAACTTTACAACTTTGGTGAGGAGGCGGGGGGGGGGCGGGGATGGGAAGGGGAAACAAAGGAGAAGGCTATAATGCTTGATAAGAAATGTACTCATTATCTTGCCCATGTAATTGTACCCTCTGTACAGTATTTTCACAATAAGGAGAAAATCTGAAAGATAGAAGAAAAAAAACTGAAACTAAAAACCTTAAGTTATAAGCCTTAAAAAAAACACCCCAAAACTGTATTCTAGGAGCAAAAAAAAGTTTTACTTAAAGATGCCCCACATATGGCCCCTGGTGGCTCATTCCTGTAATCCTAGCTTTTCAGGAGGCTGAGATCTGAGGATCATGGTTTGAAACCGCAAGAAAGTCTATGAGATTCTTATCTCCAATTAGTTACCAAAAAAGCCAAAAGTGGAGCTGTGGCTCTGGTGGTAGAGTACTAGCTTTGAGAAAAAAGCTCAGGGACAGCACCCAAGCCCTCACTTCAAGCTCCAGGGCTGGTACCGCCCCCCGCCCCCCACCCCCCTCCAAAAAAAGATACTCCACATGTTTCACCTCTCTGATACTTAGGAAAGCTGAGTTATGTTGACTACATCTGGTAATACAATGAAGAGATGTATAATGCTTTCAAATGACTAAATATATCTTAGCACTTTTTTGATCAAGGATAGCATTCTACCCCTTGAGCCACAGGTCTACTTCCAGGCTTTTGGTTGTTAGAGATAAGTCTTAAGAGCTATCTTGCCTGGGCTGGCTTAGAACTAAAATCTTTAGATCTCAGCCTCCTCAGTAGCTAGGTTTACAAATAGGAGCCACTGGCTCCTGGCTGAAGTTTTATTTTTAAATATGACTGTTTAGTTATTTGTACTACAAACTTACTGAAATAAATCACTTCCTGAAGAAAACAATTATTCTTCACTGAGTTAAAAATTTAAAACTTTAAGGACCAAATAACTCTGAATATATACTCATAAGGATCATAACTCATGAATATACTCATTTTTTTCAACTGAAAATCTCCACAAAATTATAGTAATTTGATTTAGGGCTCTTGGTTATTGGTCCTTTTTCTGTTATTGTACACTAAATACATCAAGCTGAAATTTGTGTATATGTAGTAAAATCTTTTTTTTTTAATTTGGCTACAATGGTATACAGTATTCAAGATTTGAAAGAGAGAATTAGACAACGTACCAATTTACCACTGGGGCCAAGTATTGATACCCATGGAGAAACTTTCTTGTCTCAAGAAGTGGTGGTTAATCTTTTACAAGAAACCAAACAAGCCTTTGAAAGATGTCATAGGGTAAGAAAGATTGTACATTTATTGTATTTTATTGTGTTTTGTCTACCAGTTCTTGTGTATTTTAGGTTTTATTTTGTTTACAGAATGATTTTGTTTGTAATTTTTAAAATGTGGGTATTTTGCCAGGTGCTAGTGGCTCATGCCTGTAATCCTGGCTACTCGGGAGGCTGAGCTCTGAGAATTGCAGTTCAAAGCTAGCCTAGGCAGGAATGTCCATGAGATTCTTAATTAATAAACAATAAACCAGCAGAAAACCAGAAGTAGCACTGTGGCTTAAAGTAGGTAGAGTACTAGCCTTGAGCAAAAAGAGCTCAGGGACAGCACCCAAGTCCTGAATTCAAGTCCCATTACCAGCAGCAACAGCAATTTTAAAAAAATGTATTTTTTGCAGTCGTGGTAATTGAATTCAGCCTAATGCTTGCTAGACAAGCACTGGTACTATATGAGCCATTTTCCTCCCTGACCCTCACCCCACTCTCTTATTCCCCCTCAGTCCTGGGGCTTGTACTTTGGGCCTGGGCACTGTCCCTGAGTTTCTTTTGCTCAAAGCTAGCACTCTATCACTTGAGTCACAGCACCACTTTCTGCTTTTTCTGAATAGTTTAGTAAAACTGAATAATTGCAACAAAAAGACTGTTAAAACTAACATACAAATTTTTAAGATATAAATCAATTTACAAAAAATAGAAGCAATTCTATATTCCTGATAGCAAGTTGTCTAAAAAATCAACATTGCCAGGTGCTGGTGGCTCACACCTGTAATCCAGCTACTCAGGAGGATGAGATGTGAGGATCACAGTTCAAAGCCAGCTTGGGCAGGAAAGTCCATGAGACTCTTATCTCCAATTACCCACCTGAAAACCAGAAGTGGAGCTGTGGCTCAAAGTGATAGAATAGTTTATGAGAGATAAGGGTCTCACTGACTTTCTGACCAGGTTGGCTTGAACCACAGTCCTCAGATCTCAGCCTCCTGAGTAGCTACGATTAAGGTGAGCCAGCAGCACCTGGTTCCCTTCTTTAAATTAAATAATTTCTATGCAAAGGATATTTAGTAGGTATGATATGATATTTTAATAAATATGCATATTGAATAATATTCAAATCACCCTAAGGATATATAACTTTTCAAACTTTTTTTGTGTGGTAAAACCTTTCAAAATCCATTCTTTTAAAAAAATACTCAGTCTACTATTATCTGAAGTCAACCTACTGATGTGATAGAACACAAGATATTGCTTCTTTTACCTCCAATTCATCACCAAAAAGTTGAAAGTAAAGCTAAGGCTCAAATGGTAGAGCGCTAGCCTTGTGAAAAACACTTCAGGGAGGCCCTGAGCTCATGCCTTAAGACTGGCGTGTGTGCATGCACGTGCATATATCAAACAAAACACGCACACACATCAAACAAAAATAAAAGCCCAGTCACTTATTCTGGTTTGTTTCTATTTCCATTTGTCTTTATACCAATATCATGCTGTCTTAGTTACAACTTTAGAGTAGATCTTGAATCAGGTAATATAAATCCTCTCATAATTCTCATAACTCAGTTTCTGGGAAAAAGGTGAAGTTTTGATTGGAATGAAAATGAATCTATAGTTTTATCTGGTGTTAAAATAAAAATGCATTTAAATTTATAGTTTAGTTTATATATAGAAATGCAGGTGATTTTTGTTTATCTTAAGTACCCAGTAACCTAATTAAACTTCTTTATTTTAATAACTTTTTAAATAGATTCCAGCAGATTTTCTATATAGACTATTGTGTTGTCTCCCTGAAGAGAATTTCCCTTAATTCCTCTCTAGTACAAATAATTTTGTTCTTCTGCCTTAATTGCCCTTCCCAGACTTCCATATGATATTGAATAAATGTGGGGAGAATAAATACTTTCCATTATTTCAAATGTTTAGAGTAAAGCGATCAGTCTTTTACCACGAAGTATGCTAACTACAGGTTTTTCTTAAATATTCTTCCACAGTGAGGAAATTCTTCTTATTCTAGTTAATTTAACTGTCTGTAAGCTGGATTTTGTCAGATACTTTCTATTAATGTTGTGAATTACATTAGTTGATTTTAAAAAATGTTTTGCATTCTTCAATAAATCCAAGTTGGTCATCAACTGACTTTTACCCTGTTATCTTACATATATATTTGGGGGTAAAAATGAAGCATTTTACATTGGTGTTCATGAAGAATAATGGCCTACCTTCCTTTAATGTCTTTGTTTTGATTGGGTATCATTAAAGCTTGGTCTCATGAAATGTGTTGGGAATATTTCTTCAGTTTTCCCCAAAAGTTTGTGTTAAATTGATAGACTTTTAGGTTTTAACCTTTTGATACTGGTATAATTCACTAATAAACCTGTAGATGCCCCTCCCTCTCTTCTGTTTATCTGTGTGTGTGTGTGTGAGAGAGAGAGAGAGAGAGAGACAGAGACAGAGAGAGAGAGAGACAGAGAGATTTGAGTTTATGCATGCTATTCATAGGCTCTACCACTTGAGTCATGCCTCAGCCCCTACACTTTTCTTTGTAAGAATATTTTAACCTCAGATTCAGCTTCTCAGCTATACACAGGGCTATTCAGATAATCTAGTTTAAGTTAGCTTTGGTAGTTTCTGCCTTTCAAAGACATATTTTATGTAGATGTTGCATTCATTGAATAAAATTATTCATGACATTTTGTTAGTCTTTTTGTATTTGTAGAAGTGGTGCTCATGTCACCACTCTCATTTTAGTTTAGTTTTCCCCAAGAGCCATTAGCTTGTCTTTTTTTCTATTTCATATTTCTTTGGTTTCTTCTCTATTTTCTTCATGTTAGGTGTCATTTGCCTTTTCTTTTTCTATATTTTGAGGTAGAAGCTGAGATCATTTATTGGAGACCTTTTTTTTTTCATTTCTCCTTTTTTTATATGTTTTTTATTGTAAAAATACTGTACAGAGGGGTTACAGTTATGTGAGTAAGGTATTGAGTTCATTTCCTATCGAGCATTGTTACCTGATTGGAGACCTTCTTTACCAGTGTATTTAGTAATAAATTTCACACTTAAAAGACTAGCAACATCAAAGAAGTTTTGGTATTGTGTTTTTATTTTATTCAGTTGAAAATACTTGCAAATTTCTTTTTTTTTTTAACTTTTTTTTGGGGGGGGGTCCGATTGTAGGGCCTGAACTCTGGGCCTGGGCGCTGTCCCTCAGCTCTTCAGCTCAAGGCTAGCGCTCTACCACTTGAGCCACAGCATCACTTCCGGCTTTTTTCTTTTTGCTTATATAGTGCTGAGGAATCGAACCCAGGGCCTCAGGCTTGCAAGGCAAGCGCTCTACAACTGAGCCACCTTCCCAGTCCCTGCTTGCAAATTTCTATTTGCTTTCTTTAGACCCTAAACTGATTTAGAAGTATGTTTTATTGTCATGTATTTGGAGATAGGTTTGTGTTTGATTTCATTCCAGAGGATATACTTTACGTGCTGTGAATCTTTAAGAAATTTATTGAGGTGTTTTATGGCCTGGAATATGGTCCACATGAGTAGTTTCACAAACTTGAGAAGAATATATGTTATGTTGTTGTTGGATTATGTATTCTGTAAATGTCAGGTGTCATTGACTGTGCTCATTGACTCTTCTGTATCTGTCAATTTTCTGTTTGCCTTAACTATATTATGCATAGACTTTTTAAATGTGAACAGGAGAGTAAGAAGCTAAATTTAGTCTTTATGGTTTAGAATGAAGATAAGGACACTTGTTGAATCAATTGAAGAGGAAAATTGGGTAGAGAGACTAGTGAGGAATATAGGTTGAGTAGTTATGAAGTGTACAACAAAATCAGTATTTATAATCAATGGTGATTGTAAGAAGGTTATGAATTCTCATAAACTTCTGACTTCATACATAGGGATTATATTATACTTCATAAGGATTATATTATTACGTTAAGGTTGAGCATGCCTAATTTTAAAATCCAGAATCTTTCATGTTCAAAAATCTAAAATCTTTTAATGACTAATAAAGATTCCACAGTAGAAAATTACATATTTGCCTTTGTAGGATATATTGCAGTCAAAATGCAGGCACACTGAGAAAATTTTATGGGGCCATTTTTAGGCTGTGTGTATTAGGTAGTATATTAGGTATGAAAAATAACTGAACTTTATATTTGGATTTGAGTTCCATCCCCAAGATATTTCATTATGTATATGCATGCAAATATTCCAAAATCTGAAAAAAATCCAAAATTCAAATAAATCTAGTCTTAAGCCTTCTGGAAAAGGGATCCTTCACCTCTAATAAGTATTATCCTGAAAGATTGCATAAATGGAGACTACAAATAAGCTTGACAAAGGCAGAAATCAATTTATAGAAACAACATAGGAACCCCTAGATAAGTATTCAAATGTTTTTTTCTTTCATGCGATTGTCTCTAACATATTTATAAGATAATTTCTTTGTTGCTTTGTATGTCCCTCCCCCACGGTATAACCCCTGCTTTCACTGTATTTGATGTTGGTATAATTTGTGGAGGGGAAGGGAAAAAAACAAATCATTTAAATAGGGATACAGGTGGACCCATTGCAACAATGAGATGTATAAGTCGTTATGTCGAAAAAACAAACTTTACAGCTTTGGGCGTGGTGGGGAGGATGGGAAGGGGAAACAAAGGAGGAGGCATCAATGCTTGGTAAGAAATGTACTCATTATCTTGCCCATGTAATTGTAACCTCTCTGTACGGTATTTTCACAATACATAAATAAAATATAAACAACATAGGAAGCAGTTAAAAGAACTCAAAAGTTCTGAGTTTTACTGGAATTTCCCTTGTTTAGTGAGTAGCTCTCAAACCCCTTTGGTCATGACTCAAAATGAATAATGTGTTTTATATATGCATGGTGTTGTGTATGTGTTTGTTGTAAATGTAGTTGATTCCACTAAAGGATTATAATTTAAGCTTAAAAGCATTATTCTAAGACACAAGAGTTTTAAATCAATATGACCCATTGTAATTATGTATGGAAAGGGAGGGTTGGAATACAAGTTACTTTCATACTTGAAATACTATGTTTTATACAAAATTGAGTACTTTTTAAGTTGGCAAAAGTTTGCTTTGTTTAAAAGGTAGTACACTGGGTACAGAACTCAAGGGAAAAAAGGGTGAAAAAGGTGCAGCAGTGGAGCTCACTATACACTGATGAATGTGAACTATGCAACTTATGCATAGGCGAGAGTGAGGGGACAGAAGACACTATACGAAAGGAAATATACTCATTGCTTGACTCATGTAATTGTAATCCCTCTGTACTCACCTTTATAATAACTGTGAACTAAATTAATTAATAGAAAAGGTACATTGGAGGAGTGATATTGTGTATATTTTTGTTTTTAAAGCTTTCGGATCCTTCTGATTTACCAAGGAATGCCTTTAGAATTTTTACTATTCTTGTGGAATTTTTGTGTATTGAACATATTGATTATGCTTTGGAAACAGGACTTGCTGGTAAGTATATTTGTATCACACTTTCTGTGAAAGTTCTTTGGTACTACTTAGTTAAACTGAACATAGAATTTTTGTATCTAATTACATCTATATGTTAAATTTAGTAGAATGAATTTTGGGCTTCTATAATATAAGGATTTGCCAGGTGCTGAAAGCTATACAAATAAATACATGGTTATATAATATTGTTTACATGTAGTAAAGTAGAGTAATAAACAGTATAAGTTATTACAGTGCATGACAAAATATAACATAATTCTGTCCATTATAAAACATCAAGGTACATAAGTGAAGGGAATTAAGCAATGTAAGTTTAGGAAGGAAAATACTCAAAAGTAAGTCTGAAAAGGAATACTTACATTACAATTTTTATTTTGCTTTTGATCTTCTTGGTCTATCTGTTATTGTTAGTAGTATAACAATGATTTCTTCCTTTAGTTCCAGTCCTATTAAACTAGTTGCCTACTTGACCGTGCCACTTGTTCAATGCTTATCTCAAATTTAATGTACCAAAAGTGAAAGAAATTCATTGTCTTGTTCCAAAATGTTCTTTTCCCCATAAAAAGGACCTTTTTAATTTACTAGTTACTCAAACTTCAAACTCAGGTGATCCCTTAATTTTTCTTTTTCATCAATGCAGATATCATTTTTCTACTTTTATCTCTAATAAACGCCACCCTAGCTTAAACACTGTTGGCTCATGACTATCCTTTGTCCATTGTTGCCTTTCTGAGGTACTGATTTCATGTAGTCACCAGTTATTTACTTTTTAAAACTTTTAATTCATTTAATTTAAACTGTTATTTTGTAGTTGCACAAAGGAGTTACTATTGACCAAATCAGTGTATAAGTGCAATGCATCATGATTAATATCACCTCTTCCATCATTTCCCCCATAACTCCCAATCTAACATCTCCCTTCAATTTCCTTCATAGGCTGTGCTCTGAATATTATGACTGCATTCTCCCCCCTTCATTCATCTACTGCTCTCTCATTGATAGCTCCCTTCTACTTTTCAAGCGCCAATTTTCTGGTATTTATTTTGTTGGCCTGTGAGTTCCTTTTTGTAAGGACTTTGAATTCTCCCCTGCAAATACCATACCTGAGTTAATACATTTGTGTGCACTTGGTTACAACCTATAAGTTTTTGCTTGTATACTTACAATTTAGTGCTAGCTTCCAAATATGAGAGAAAATATGTGTCCTTTGTCCCTCTAGGCCTGATTTAAAGATTACTTTTTTAAGGAAAAGAATAACACTCTTTCAAATAGATTATTATTTGATCTGTTTTTAAATGTATTCATCCTTTTCTTGTGCTGCATTTCTCCACATTATCCCAATTCAACTTTCATTCTTTTCTTTCCTTTCTCTCAGCTCATCTCAAAGCTGGCTTTGCAGTCTTCTGATTTCCAGATCTCCCCTTCTTAGGCTTTGCTTTCACCTTAGCTGTATACTTGGAGTTAGTTACTCATGATCTTATCATTAGATTCATTTTTTATAACATCACAATGAAATTTTGTTAGTATCTGCTTTCACTCACCAGAGTTCATTTTCACTTGCCTTAAATTACTGCTTTCCTACTCCTCTACCCATTTTACATTTTGTAGAAAAGTCAGATGAATTATTAGAAAATCCAGTGAAAAATGAAACTGAGTAGGGGAGAGAGAACAGTAATGAGGTATGGTGCAGGATTCACAGGCAAAGAGCTTTAAAAAAGAATAGAGAAGACCTTTGCAGAGACACATGAGAGAACTGATTGAAATGGTATCATAAACTGACTTGAGAATAAGTAGTCTAGATAGAAACACCATTATGTAAGCTCTTTTAGATAGGAATATTAATTTGTTTCATTCAGTGCTGTACTCTAGCATGTGAGCATGCATAGATGCCTAAAATATCTTTATTGGCTGTATAAAACATTCTGTAAAGATTCTAACAGTAAACCAGAATTAGCATAAATCAGTTCCTTTGGCTTAACTGGTTTATCCTTTCCCAATTTTTCAGTTTTGCTCTTATAAGCAACAAGATAGATTTGTTAATTGGAGATAAGAGTCTGATGGACTTTCCTGCCAGGACTGGATTTGAACCATGGTTCTTTGTGAGCCATTGGTGCCCAGTAAGATAAATATTTTTAACTTAATTATTAGAAGACCTGTGATGACTTCCAAGTATTGCCATTTGAAAATGATTAATGTGTTAATTTGGAGATAATTAAATCTGCAAAGATGTGATGAGAACTAAAAATATAATTTGAATTTGAACTTTTCGTATGAAGGATTTTAGTGGCAATATTCTCTATTTAGAAGGGCTTATGAAATTTTCCACTTAGAACAGAAAGATTGCTCATTCATAAGTACTTTTCATATAGGTAGTTAGCACTTACTGATACTATTTTTAAGACTGCACAAAATTTTTGGGTGCTGGTAGCTCACACCTGTAATCCTAGCTACTCAGGTGGCTGAGAGCTGAGAATTAGAGTTTGAAGCCAGTCTGGGTAGGAAAGTCTGCAAAAGAGACTCCTATTTCTAGTTAACTACAAAAAGCCAGAAATGGAGCTGTGTCTCAAGTGGTAGAGTGCTCAACTAACCTTGAGCAAAAGGATAGTACCCAGGCCCTAAGTTCAAGCCCTAGGACTGGCATGAAATAAAATAGGATTTTATGAAGTTCTGTCAAACACATATAGCTTCCATACCTTGTTACTCTAGATTTTGAACCTTTTGAAATGGTACAGTTACTAAATTATAATTTCAATTACTAAATTTTAATTTAGTAGTAATAAGTACTGGTCAGCTAACACTAGGTTAAATATTCCCTATCTTGGTTTATTTTCTCTGGCTAAAATCAGAGACATGAAATAACCAAATCAAAGTATGTAATATAAATATGTATATATATATGTATAGGTTTTAAAATAAGGTGTTTTAAAACACAATATTTTTTTTCATTTTTGATATAAACTTATTTTTAAAGGATTCTTCCCTACCAATGTTTACTACTGTTAGCCTATTTACATATACTGCTTTTTCAGGACACTGTTGAATGTTCCTTAAAAACTTTAATAACTTGGTAATTGAAAACATCAATATTGCCTTAAATTTTCATATCTTAATAATAATGATTAATGAGGTGTATTTTTCTTTTCAAAGTTTGTGTCAGAGCCTTTAATTTTCTTACCATTTGATTTTGCCTAATGTGGAAAAATACATATATTTTCCATTTTTAAAATGAGTTCTGTACATAACTCTAGGTTTTAGGCTAATATGTTGTTACAAGCTCTGGATAGTTTTCTGAGTCTCAAGTCTTTTAATTTTGGGTGAAAGTGCAAATATCTAGGAACCTTAGAGTATCTATTATTCTTTACAAAAGAAACTTTGAAATCCAGTGATTCAGCTCAATTTTTAGTGTCAGAATGTAGAGTAGCTTGATTATTATGCTGAATATCAGGAATTTACTCTGATATAGTTTGATTTTTAATATTTTTGAGGAAAGAATAGATAATGTAAGATGTATAAGTTGAGGTATATTTTACTATGACATGATATATAGGATAGAAGATAAAGACATAGGAAACAGGAAAACTAATAAAAATATTGGAGATAGAAATGAGATAAAGACCTGTTACAAGAAAAATGGTTGATGTATTCATAGAGCATATGAATTTTTGAGTACTAAAGAATTGGAAAGGAGGGGGGAGGATTGTGAGGGGGAGCTGGGAAGGGCTGGGAAGGGAAAACAAAGGAAGAGGCTACAATGCTTGATAAGAAATGTACTCATTATCTTGCCCATGTAATTGTAACCCCTCTGTACAGTATTTTCACAATAAAAAATAAATAAAAATTAAAAAAAAAAGAATTGAAAAGGAATGGAGAAGATAGATGCAAGATGATTGCGTGGTTTATTTCAACAAAATTTTAAATAGCAAAAATTTGAGCAGCAAAGTGCTTTGGATGAATTTTATTAAGCTATTAACAATTTTCTCTTAATCATTGCTGAATCTTGAAATAACATTACTTTTAACTCATGCAATATATATAATGCCCATTTTCTTTTACTCAAGGTGAATTTCTTTAAGGTTAATTTTCATTTATGTATTCTTTCAAATTGTAGGAATTCCTTCTTCAGATTCTAAGAATGCAAATCTCTATTTTTTGGATGTTGTGCAACAGGCCAATACTATTTTTCACCTTTTCGACAAACAGTTTAATGATCACCTTATGCCACTAATAAGGTTAGTCACAATCATTGATATTTCAGTAAATATTACAGTTTTTATATTAAATTTTAAAAAATCATGTTTTGAATTGTTTTAAAAGCATCAACAGGACAGGAAATGAGAAATAAAACTATTCTTTTTAGCCAGGTGCCAGTGGCTCATGTCTGATCATAGCTACTCAGATAGAGAGCTGTAGTTTGAGTTCAGCCTGGGAATAAACAGGAGACCACATCTCAATAGCTGGCTTCTGTTTTACACGTCATCTTTGTTATCAGGAGGTTGAGATTGGAAGGGTTGAAGTTTTCGACCAAGCTGTGATACTCCATCTCAATTAATAGCTGGATGAGGTAGAGCATACATGTCATTTTCTCCATGTGGGAAGTATAAATAGGTAGATATTAGTACAATCTGATCCAAGCTACATGTAAAACCCTACTTAAAAAACAACAAATGCAGGGCCTGTGAATGTGGCTTAGTGGTAGAGTGCTTGCCTCGCATGCATGAAGCCCAGGATTCAATTCCTCAGTACCACATAAACAGAAAAAGCCAGAAATGGCACGCTGGCTCAAGTGGTAGAGTGCTAGCCTTGAGCAAAATAAGCTCAGGGACAGGGCCCAGGCACTGAGTTCAAGCTCCATGATTGGCAAAAAAAAATGCAAATGCAAACAGGGTTGGGATCATTGCTCAAAAAGTAGAATGCCTGCCTAGCAAGCTCAAGGCTATAAGTTCAAACATCAATATCACAAAAAAAAGTGTTGATTTTCCTTTCATTCCTGTTTTCTTTTTCTGTTGTGTAAGTAGAATATGATCTAAACCTCCCTATAGCAAGGATGACATGTGTGATTCAGAAGCCAGCTATTGAGATGTGATCTCGTATTTATTCCCGGGCTGAACTCAACTTTTTGGTACATTTGAAAAGACAGCTATCATAATCTAAAATTAAAATCTTGTATGAAAGAGGCCTTCCAGCCTACTACAGTTCAGTAAATTTACATCCTTAAAATTTCAGTGGCTCACTGAATGGAGTGATTCACTCCACTCAGGAGGCTGAGAGCTGAAAATCATGGTTCAAAGCCAGCTGGGGCAGGAAAGTCTGTGAGACTGTATCTCCAATTAACGTCCAGAAAACTGGAAGTGGAGTTGTGATTCAACATTGTAGAGCACTAATCTTTAGGAGCAGCATCCAGTCCCCAACTTTAAGCCCTTACGACCAACTGCAACAACAAAAAAGATCCAACAGCCTAGACACCAACAGATGATTGCAGTTCAAGGTCTGGGAAAAATATTTGTGAGACTCCGATCTCAACCAGTAGCTGGGTATTGATGGCCTATATTTTCTTATTCCAGCTACTCAGTAAGGTGAGATCAGGAGGATTCCAATTCTAGGCCACCCCAGGCAAAAATATTCACAACATTCCATCTCAGCAGAGAAAGCTAGGCATGATGGTGCAGTTCTGCAGGTACATTGGAGGATCAGTCTAGGTTGGCCTGGGTAAAAAGTGAGACCATATCTTGCAATGAAATAAGCCAGAGCAAAATAAGCTTGAGGCATGGCTCAAACAGCAGAGCATCTGCATAATAGGTGCAAAGCTTTGAGTTCAAACTCCAGTACAACAAAAGAAAAAAGATTCAACAGGTACAGCCTGTTTATTACAATATAAAGACATAAAAATCTTTGTGAGGACTGGGAATATAGCTTAGTGGTAGAGTGCTTCCCTAGCATGAATGAAGCCCTGGGTTCGATTCCTCAGCACCACATAAACAGAAAAAGCCAGAAGTGGCACAGTGGCTCAAGTGGTAGAGCACTAGCCATAAGCAAAAGAAGCCCAGGGACAATGCCCAGACCCAAGGGGTGGGGAATCTTTGTGAGATTGATAGGGGATAGATTTTTTTTTTTTTTGCGGGTGGGGGGGGGCTGTCAGTCGTGGGGCTTGAACTCTTGGGCGCTGTCCCTGAGCTCTTCAGCTTAAGGCGAGCACTCTACCACTTGAGCCACAGCACCACTTCCAGGGGATAGATTTTGTGAGCCATTAAGAGTTGACATAATTTTACAAAAATTTATATATGAACTTTAAAAGTATATAATCATCTCTTTAACACTATTACAGAAAAGATATTTACACAAAAGATAAATTTTATCAGTGTGTCATAAACAATGTTATGCCAAGAATAATCCATAAGTGAAGATCACTTGTAATGCCTGAATTGCACTTTGAGAAAATATTTATTTATTGGGTTTTATTTTCATTTTACTTTGTTTTGAGACAGTACCTTATTATGTACTCCTGGGTGACTTGACTCTTGCTTTCCACCTACTAACTGATGAGATTTGTAGACATGTATTACTATACCTAGTTAAGGGAATTTACTTTTTAACTTGCTTTTTAAAGGATTGTTATACCATATAGCAGAGAATTACATAGTCTTTTTTAACATTGTTTATATTTTAATATAATACATTCTTAATGGTTTTGTGTTATCTTGTGACTTTTCTGGTATAATACCCAGTATTTACTTATAAAGGAAATGAATAGATACCAAATTTCAAAATTACATATTTTTTGTTCTTAAGGGTAGCTTCACAGAAAGAGTAACAAATTTAATTTTTCCTCTTCTGACTAGTGGGACCTTACCTAAAAAACAAAAACAAAAGACAAAAGAGTTAGGGGTATAGCTAAAGTTGGTAGAATGCTTTCCTAGTGTGCTCAAGGAAGCACACTAGGCATTATCAATTGATAATCAGTATTACTCTTCCTTTCTTTTTAATTTCTAGTGTGAGTGAATCAATCATGTTAGTGTAAATTAAAGTATGTTATGTTTTTATAAATATATGTATATAAAAAACCTTTTGAAATTAGGCTATTAATATGATTTTTTTTCCCTTTAAATATACAATAGCTCCTCTCCTAAATTATCTGAATGCCTTCAGAAGAAAAAAGAAATAATTGAGCAGATGGAGATGAAATTGGATACTGGCATTGACAGGCAAGTTGTTGGGTTATTTCTGTTGCATTTTTTAAATTGTAGAAACACTTAGTAGAGCAACAAATTTTAAGGTATAAATACTTTGTGATATGAGTAGCACTATAATACTAATTAAGCATTTCTATCCCTAAACATAATTACCATTTTTAAATTTTTGGTCAGTTGTGGGCCTTGAACTTAGGGCCTGGCTGCTGTCTCTGAGCCTCTTTGTTCTCAAGGCTTGCTCTCTGCCACTTGAGCCCCAGTGCCACTTCCAGTTTTTGAGTGGTTAATTGGAGATAAGCATCTTACAGGGACTTTTCTGCCTGGACTGGCTTTGAACTGTGATCTTCAGATCTGAGCCTCCTGATAAGCTAGGATTATAGGTGTGAGCCACCAGCACCCGGCCATAATTACCAATTTTAAGAATATTCTCTCAACAAATTTATAGTATTACTAAATATAGTTACCATATTGTGTATTACATCTCCAGAATTGATTTTTATTGCATTACTGAAATCTTGTCATATCTATTTCTTCTACATCTCCTCTCCTTAGCCCTGCCAAGCAACATTCTACCCTGTACCACTGTTAGCTTCTTGTTTACATTCCACATATGAGATCACAGAATATATGTCTTTTTCTGTCTAGCTTTTTTCATCTAGTTTAATGTCCTCTAGTTTTACTCATGTAGTCGCAAATGACAGAATTTCCTTTTTAAGGCTCAGTAATACACCGTTGTATAAATATACCACATATTCTTTCTCCATCCTTCATGGGACATCTAGTTTATTTTCATGTCTTGGCTATTGTGAATAATTCTACACTGAACATTAGTTAAAGCTGTTCTCTCTCTAAGGTACTGATTTCATTTTGGTTGTGTATAGCTGTATAAGAGTTCCTCTTTCTCTGAATCCTAGCCAACATTTAGCCATCTTTGGTCTTTTTTATAGTAGCCTTCCTGATAGATCCTGATCTCACTTTAAATACTTGTATTTACCTAATGACTAGTGATGTTGGGCAGCTTTTTATATATTTATTGGTCATTTATATGTCTCCTTTTGAGAAATCTGTCAAAGTTCCTTGCCCTTTTTAAATTTGTGTCGGTTTTTGTCTATAGGCTGTCTCTTTACTCTATTGGCTATTTCCTTTGCTGAGCAGAAGCTTTTTTTAGTTTACCGCACTCTTATCTGTATATTTTTGTTTTGGGAGTAATATTAAAAAAAATTGACATCAAGAAGATTTTCTGGTTCTTTACCAGCTAAAATCTTAATGGTAAAGCCTTTAAACTGTTTTGAGTTTATTTTGTATATATGAAATCTACTTTAATTTTCTCTGTTGTGATTAAGCAATATTCATGGCACCATTTAACAAGGATACTTTTTCTTGCTGTGTGTCTTTGGCACTCTTGTCAAAGATCCATGGATTGTAATATCCTGAGTTGATTTCTGGCCCTGTCTTCTATTGCATTGGTCTACATGTCTGTAGACATCATACTGTTGCATCATACTGTTGTAATTACTTACCATACTGTTAATTAGATTTATAATACATCTTGAAATTTAAAGTGTAATACTTGCAGTTTCATCCTTGCTCGAGATTTCTTTGGCTATTTTAGAACTGAAAATTCATATGATTTTTTTTCCTGTGAAATACACTTGAAATTTTGATAGAGAATACTTTGAATCTGTATATCACTTTGGTCAGTATGGATATTTTAATTATACTCTTATATGAATATAGAATGTATTTCCTTTTTTTTTTTTTCCTAGTTGTGGGGCTTGAACTCTGGGCCTGGGTGCTGACCCTCAGCTCTTCAGCTCAAGGCTAGTGCTCTACCACTTGAGCCACAGCGCCACTTCTAGTTTTCTGGTGATTTTTAGAGATAAGAGTCTCACAGACTTTCCTGCCTGGGCTGGCTTTGAACCATGATCCTCAGATCTCAGCCTCCTGAGTAGCTAAGATAACAGGCATGAGCCACCGGCACCTGGCTATTTCCATTTATTTATCTCTTTTAACTTTTTTAGCTGTGTTTTTAAATTTTCAATGTAAAGGTCTTTTTTACTCCTTTGTTTAATTCCTAAAATATTTTTTTCATTTTGTTATAAGTAAAATTAGGATATTTTGACTAGATCATTGTTAGTTTACAGAAACACAGCTGATTTTTGTATATGGATTTTGCATTTTGTGACATTTCTGAATTCATTTTTGATGGAGTCTTTAGAGCTTTCTATATAGAATCATGTTACTTGCAGAGACAACTTTACTTTTCCCATACCAGTTTAGATGCCTTCTTTTGTGTTTTAATTTTAGTTTTTAACCTATTTCTCTAGCTAGGATTTTCAGTTGAAGTGGTGAGAGTGGACATCCTTGTCTTGTTTTTGCTCTTAAAGGAAAAGCTTTCCAGCTTTTTGTCACTGATGCCTGTCTCTCATATTTTTTGGAGGATATATGGATATATGTGTGTGTGCATATACATAGTATGTGTGTATAAATAAGTTTTTTTCCTTCTATATTAGCCTGTGAGCTTTAATATTGGGGTGTTTGCATTAGTTACTCTGCTGAAAGCACAGTGGGCTAATGAGATCTCTTGAAGGACCTTGAGTATTAAGTAGCTCAGTGTTACTTGCTTCCCTGCTAATACTTTCATACCAGTAGGCCAGAAAAATCTTTCTGTCTAAAGCTTATATCTTTCATTTTGTGTTGTTATTTCAGCCTTTTCTCTATGTTACTGAGGACTTCGGCATCTTTCTCATAACTTTTCTTCGACCTTAAGTCAATTTTTTCCCATATCTATGGATGTGAGTCATTTTGTTGTTCATCTGCACTTACCTATTATAACTAAAACCAATCATTGTTTCTTGGTTATTGATTATTGGTAATAAGAACCTTCAGCCTGAATGTACTACTCTATATCCTATTATAACCTGCTGTAGTCCCAATTTTTAAATTCTCCATGTACTTGTTTTCTGACCTCAGCAAGACCTTTAATCTCTTCATTTAATCTCGTGTAATCTCTTCATTTTATGTTAGTATCACAGTCCTTTTCTTAACTTGCTTTCATTCATTATTGTGTTAAAATTACTTGGCCTGTCTCTTGAATTACTGCTTTATATTTATTTAAATCTGTTTTCTTCTACCACATCTATCTTGCCAGAATCTGGATCAGTATGGTCTCGTTATTCCTATAGCTGTGTGACTGCTTGTTGGAGAATATAAATTACCTATTATTGCTATCATTGTAAATCTATGTTCTCATGTCTTAGTTGGATCTTTAGTGTCACTTTTTCATCATCTTAAATCCCCTTAGACTGAGAGCCTGGAATCTCCCACCTGCTTTTCCATGACATAGTCATTTTTCTTAAGCCTTCTCTCTTTCCACCCTCCTAAACACTGTATGTATAGTTTTGCCCTTGAAGATACTTGTCAAGGAATCAAATGAGGGACAGATTTTTAAGGTCTTCCAGAGTAGGAAATTATAGCCATTAGCCTTTTGATCTAAGACATATAGTTGATTTTTTTTAATTCTGAGGTTTACCAATAGCAAAAGTTTTATGGTGATACGATATTAAGTAATTTTAGTGTTGTAAATAATATAAGTAAAAGTATCAAACAGATGTATCAAACAGATGTTTTCAATTCTCCAGGACACTAAATTGTATGATTGGTCAGATGAAGCATATTTTGGCTGCAGAACAGAAGAAAACAGATTTTAAGCCAGAAGATGAAAATAATGTTTTGATTCAGTATACTAATGTAAGTAAAGCTATTCAGCTTGCTAATAAAATTTCATCACTGTATCTTACTATGTCCTCTGTTTTCTGTTCTTTGTATAAATTATTGAAAAAATATATACTATTCTTTCTCCTTACTTAAACTGATATACAAACCTATATAGTAAATGTAGAAAAACTTTTACAGGCCTGTGTGAAAGTCTGTGCTTATGTAAGAAAACAAGTTGAGAAGATTAAAAATTCCATGGATGGAAAAAATGTAGATACAGTTTTGATGGAACTTGGAGTACGCTTTCATCGACTTATTTATGAGCATCTTCAACAATATTCCTACAGTTGTATGGGTGGCATGTTAGCAATTTGTGATGTTGCTGAATATAGGAAGTGTGCCAAAGACTTCAAGGTATGTATGCACAAAAAATCAAACTTGCATGTAAGATCAGAAATATAAATCTGATCATTATGGTTATTAAAATGTTACTTAACTTTTGTTGATATGCAGATGAATACATACATATTCTATCTGAAAAAGTGTTGCTTCAGTCTTGTTTTCAGTGTTAACACTTTCTTCTTGCTTTGCTTTCACCAGATCCTATTTTAGTTGCATAGTCCAAATAGCCTTATTTGACATCCATGACCATACATTAAGAAAATAATATTTTTCATGTATGGCCTTCTGAACTTTTTCCCTCAGTTTAAATTATTTAAGAAAGGTGTTAATGATAACTTGTTTGAGTATCAGTTATTAATTATTGAGACAACTGACATAATATGAATCTTTTCAAAAGATTATGGAAATATTTTAGTTTTAACTTTTTAGAAGCCAAGTATTAACTTTTCAAGTTCTAATATTTAGTAAGTTCTAATTAGAAGTATATACAAAGCATTTGCCAAATTAATTATAAAGTAAGAAATTATTTTGTTTCAGTGGGGTTTTTTTGTTTCTCTCATTTCAGATTCCAATGGTATTACATCTTTTTGATACTCTGCATGCACTTTGCAATCTTCTGGTAGTGGCTCCTGATAATTTAAAGCAGGTCTGCTCAGGAGAACAACTTGCTAATCTGGACAAGAACATACTTCACTCCTTTGTACAACTTCGTGCTGACTATAGATCTGCTCGCCTTGCTCGACATTTCAGCTGAGGTTGAATTTACTATGGAAATGTGTTTTATTTCATCAAGCCTTGGTTGATGGAAAGCACAGGAGATTCCTTATGACACAGCCAACATTTAATTGGAAAGAAAATGACTGGAAGAAAACAGCAGCCATAGTTAATCCTTGAGGTCTTATTTGAAATTTGGACACTAGCTATATTTTTCTCCCGGTTACTTGAATTTATTAATTTCAAATTTGGCAAAACCACGTGTCACTGTTTTTATCCTGGAAAATGTTGGTGTGAGAAGGGAAATGAAAATTTACCAGTGCTCTAGTTCTTGTCTTTCACATTGTCCATCTGAAGGGGTATGCATTAATAATGGGTGAAACACAGCAAAACCACATTTATTATCCATCAGTTTTTATTGATCTTTCCAGCACTGGTAGTTATTAATCAAAATATTTTTAAGATTTCTTGAATCTTTTGCTTTTTTTAAAAAAGTTAGCAGTTGACCATCATTTCTGTAGTTTACTGATTGGAAGTTTTTCTGAGAAACAGCAGTGCTAATGTTATAAATTAAATTAAAATGGTGAAATGTTTTATATAGACACTAGAAAGTGGATCAGAACATACCTGCCTTCTGGGTAAAATTTAAAGTTTACTAATTCTTATTTGGTAAATAGGTTTTAAGCCAGTTCTAGCAAGAAACTAATGAAACTACCTTATTTTATATATCACAAAGATACGTTGGAGAACTTTACCTAAACGACCATATTTATTCATTTTTTAATAGTATAGGAAAGTTAAAAAGTGAGATACAGTCTAAAAGGTGCATACGAGAAATAATTGACAATATTTAGCAACAGTGCAGTCCTTTTAAATTTCTATCTTTGCTAAACTTGAATAAGATTGGAGGGCTAAACATGTAGGTAATCTTCTATTTTAAGAGGAATTGATACATATTCTATATTTGGAGACAAGCTTTGCAAAGACTAATTGCTTCTCCAATGCATAAATTCTTTTTTTCAGAGTGTTTTAAAAGTTTCTTCTTGGATATGGTTAATTGAATTGGCTTAATATGGTGATATAGTCACTTACACATGATAAACATTAATAAAAGTTTAGACAGGCCATTATAAACATTATGAACTTGCTCTGTGAAAATGCATTTTAAATTATATGTTGTGTATCAGTTTCCATTGTGTTGTTCATAGTCCTCTACGAACCAGAACAATTTTAATGTTCAATTTATTCTCAGCACTTTTTCCTTTAATGTAGGCTTTGGGGCTTAAATTTGGAAAACCACTTTTCCTCTGAGAACCTGATTCTGAATGGTCATTAACTTTTCCAAACTTTCTGAGTCCAAAACTAACAACCATTTAAGTTACTATTGATCGAATTTTCTTCATTTTCTGTTTAGCCCAGTGTTACCAAGGCAAAGCAAGGGAGATGAACTATGCCAATTTTTGTCAACACATTTTAGGACAATGTGGCAGCTTTAGAAGGCTTTCCAGATTTTTATTCTGCAGCCAAGGGAGAGCCAGAACAGGTTTTGGATACTAGAAAAAGTCATGCTTGTTCTATTGCCATTTTAGAGAGCTCTGATGTGAATTCAAATTATACCTCTGTTACTTAAAGCCAACAATTTAAGGCAGTAGTTTTACTGGCCATTTGAACTCTTTGTACAGTGTCAATTTGTAAAAAAAAAGAAAAAAAAGAAAAAGAAAAAGAAAAAAAATCTCAGATAAAATATGAGATATAACATTTTAAGACTTCTAAGCCAGAGAAGCACTTCAGATTATTTTGTTTGGATTAATTTTTAAAATGTAAAGCATATATTTGTTGCTTAGATATTTTGTTAATTATTATTTCCATGCTTGAGTTTCGTGCAATATTTTCCATTATGTCCATTTATAGGACAATGACAAATTCATAAGTGATTACCTAATTTAGAAGTGTTAACATTAATGCTCAATAAACAAATTCCCTTCAATTGTTTTTTTATTTCACTCTTCTTTTTACATTTAAGGACATCCATACTAAATTTTATAACATTTCTATTTAAAACTTTAAGATACTTATTTTTTGGTCTTTTTACTTTTTTCTTTTTTTTAGCAGAAATATACCTGACTGTATTATCAAGGTTATAAATTTAGCCTAAACACAGATATTTCTCTAAGAAAAAAAATAAATGTTGGGCGAAGCAATATACATTCTTTGTCATCTGGATTTTAAAGTATTTTCATATGTAGGCATCATAAAATTTATAACCAGGAAGAGATGATGAAGGGAAAACTTTGTAACAGTCCACAGTTCTACATATGACATGTAATATTTAGGTAAAACGAAAACAGTACAAAATGTTTTTTCATAAAACTTTTGTATGTGGAATATAAAACAGATTTAAGAAAGAAATGTAGTCCTTTTAACTGTATTGAAAATGAGAGTAGATGGGCGATGGTGGCTCATGCCTATAATCCTAGCCACTCAGGAGGCTGAGAACAGAATCATGGATGGAAGCCAGCCCTGGCTGGAAACTCTGTGAGACTCATCTCCAATAAACTACTCAAAAAAGCTCAAAGTGCCACTGTGGCACAAGTGGTAGAACACTCACCTTGAGGAAAAGAAGCTCAGGGACAGTGTCCAGGCCAAGTTCAAGCCCCAGGACTGGCAAAAAAAAAAAAAGAAGAAAATGAGAATGGATGAGGAGTTGATGAAAAATACTAAGTAACAACTTTGAGTTGATCTTTAGATGGCCACCTGACCATTTCAAGGTAGTTATTGGCATCATTTTGAAGGTGGTCCTAGTTTTAAGTCCTTAGGATTTTGTTTTAGAAATAGCTAACAGGTTCATTTAAAGTAGGTTAAATTGCTGGTGCCAGTGGCTCATGCCTGTAATCTTAGCTTTTCAGGATCTGAGGTTTGCAGTTCAAAGCCTGTGTGGGCAGGAAAGTCCATAAGACTCTTCAAATTAACCAGAAAATCAGAAGTGGTAGAGTACTAGCCTTGAGTAAAAAGTTTAGGGACAGTATTCAGTTCCTGAGTTCAAGCCCCATGACTGAAAAATAAAAAAATAATGTAGGTTCAATTAAAATTTGAAATAAATTAATGTATGTTATATTTTAGAACATTCTTCTTTTTCCTCTTTTAAGTATTTCACTTTCTGCATACTATCCTTCTGGCTCACAGTGAAATTACTGATCAGTCAACATACTGATTTCCAGGTAGAAAATGTAATTCCTTAAGATGATCTTTTCTCACCTAATATGGTTAGTATTAAAAATAAAGAGAAAACATTACTGGTTCCTATAATACTACAAAACTGTCAACATGGACATACTTACAAGATACAGTGGCTTAAGGCTTGTTTGAATTTTATGTGGGAGATAGCACAGTTCACTCAGTGCATACTTTGTTGGTGACTGAAAAAAGCTCACCTCTGGCCAGTTAGATTTTAATGCAAAAATATTCTGTCATTGGCCACATATTGCATATTGACTTCTTAGAAGAGTTCAGATGTTTTTCAGAATCATACTGAATTCTGGTTTCTAGTGGAGAATTTGACATCAAAAGCATTGTATGCTTTTAGCCAGATTAACTACATTGAGTTCCTGTACTACTCTGCTTGAGAAGGCTTATCCTACAATATATGATGTACTTTGGAAGAAAAGACCAATTTGTATTATTAGACTAATTCTATTTGAAGTACAAAATAGTTAACAATTTAAAGAATTTTAATGCACAATAAAGATAATTTTAGATACATTTGTTAGATTTAAGTCCCATGTATTATGCTGAGTCCTTTGCATGTATTCTCTTATTTGATTCAAAAGTAACTTCTAAGTACTATTATTTTTATTTAACAGGTGAAAATCCTAAGGCACAAAAAGGTAAGTAGACAGACCTGTGAAGGTCTACAGCTGCTAAAAGCTCATTTAAATGCTTTTTAAAAGCTCATTTAAAAGTTGCTTTAAGTCTTTCCAAGTTTAGTGGTGAAACTACCTTACAAGTGCATATGAGAAAAACCTGACAATAGTGGATCTCTCTCTTTCTCTTGTATTCTGTTATTTTTCTTATGTAACAAATGGCTTCTTTAGTTTGATAGGCTTGTTTTGCTTAATCTATTTTTCTTTTTGTTCAATGGTTGACTGCCATTGTGAGGTTTAGATTATGATGTTAGACTATAGTATCAGTATATAAATTACTGTTGGATTTATGTGTCCAGTATGTGGTCATGCTTTCTTAGTTTTTTTAAATTAAGCAGTCATGAGATTTTAATTGAATAAATTCATACTTAATAGAAATTTATACAGGAAGTTTTAGTAAGTGTTATACAGTCAGATACTGTTTCTGCTTAGTGACAAGTCTAGGTATTTTGCACAATATTTTGTAACATGACAGAAAATGTTTAACTACCTTAGAAGATATGAGGAAACCAGTATTTATACATTCAGTCATAGACTATATGTCAGAAGTTTGCTGATTCTGTTCAGAGCATTGATTGTTTTTAACCAGGGCCTCATTTCTTGCTAAGCAAATACTCTACTACTTTGAGTCATGCCTAAATCCTTTTGGTTTTTTTGTTTTGTTTTGGTTTTTGTTTTTGCCACTTGGATTTCACAGTCTTGCCCTTTGGCCTCAGCAAGTCTCAGACTATAATCCTACTTCTATCTGCCAAGTATCTGAGATCACAGATACGTACCACCATAGCCAGTGTGTTGGCAGTTTTTTTTAATAGCAGTACTAATAATAGTGAAAATGTAGGGCAAAAAGTACTGTATAAGCAATCCATAATTTTTATAATACCAATATTGAATGCTAACTCTTCTAAAAATTGTTTAACACATTTTATTCCTACCAATGTTAAATCACTTATCTTTTCCTAGTTTAGTGAGGAAACAGCCTCTGAAGTATATGGTAGAGAGGAACCTGACACATTAGAAAAAGACTTTTAGTTGATTTATAGGAACAACTACCCTGATAGCCCTAGACTTAACAAATTCATATTTTTAAATTAGGCCTTGTATATTTTATATCTTATCACTATTATTCAGTAGGTTTTTATGATTAAGTATCTTTTTAGAGAAGACAAATACATTTGCTCATTTTCTAAATGGCTAGGTTGCAGTTTGCCTCTCCATACAAAATTAAATAAGAATATCACATTGTACTAGAAATAGCAAACAATCTCAGAGGCAAACCATTTATTCAGAAGGCATAGATTTCCTTTAGACAGCAGTGATGCATTACAAATATATAATTATTTGCACTAATATTTGAGCAGGTGGAATGGATTAGAACATGGTCAACATTACACTGCTGATAACATGTATTTTTCCATATTAATATGTACTGCGCAACATGTATTAAAATTGTCAATAATTCATTTTAACCAAGAAACTAATATTTATATTACTGTGTTTAGGAGACAGTAACCAACTGAGCAACTTTTAATTTAAAAGTTTGAAACTGGAATTGTTTACTTTCAAAAACCCATTTAAATTACTTTATCATCAGTGAAAGGTTTGTAAAGCATAGACTTGTCAGTGACTGGCGACTTAATAGGAAGAAATATGGAAGGATAAGAAGGATAAGAATCTTGAATGAAAAAGTTAAGTTTCATTTATAACTCAGCTGACTGACTTCTTTAGTGGATTTCCACTGTTGGCAATCTTAAATGAAGAAAATGTCTTTCCCCTTCTCA